AAAAAAAAAAAAAAAGTGTCTGCAGCTACTACTCTGGGGAAGTCCAAAGCAGTTACTCTGCATCAGCCTCAAAGAAGACAGGAGGAACGAAATGGCCTGAGCTGGAAAACCTGGCTCCTGAGGGAGCAGCACTCAATGCGGCAAAAAGATTCAATTTGCCTCCAGCACCAGTTCTGAGACGCACACAAGAGATGCTGCTCTCAATACCTTTCCCGAGCCGGCTGCATGCCCAAGCCGAAGCCACGGTGACGAACTCCGACACCGGGCAGGAGAGACCATGCTGGGGGTCAGTGCCGGGATGCTGCTGACCAGCGATGCACGGCCCTAGCGAGCCCAGGCCGGCGCCAGGGCCGCCAGCCGCGCACGCCCACCCGCCCACAAGCTCAGCCCGCTCACCGGGAGCTCCCGCGGCGGCTCTGGCCTTGGGTAACGTGGCCTCGGCACCTACACACCTGAAGTTGACACCAAAATAGGGGCCGGCGGCAACCAAAGCCCAGAAAAATGGCTGACCCGCAGATACCGCTACTTCCGGTCGCTCAGTATCTCCCTCCCTACCGTCGGGCTCTCTAGAAAGCTACATCTCTGTGGTACCTTGCTTTTCTCTTTAGGAGGCAGGGAGGGGCGGGGCTCTTGGGGCCATGGTTCCAAATTCTTCTCAATAGGGGTTCAGCGGGGGCTGCTGCTTTCCAGATTGTGAGGATGGATGCAGAGATGAATGGCACGGCCCAAGCCCTCAGGGCGCTTGTTGCCTCCTGAGGGAGTTGGACCTCTCTGTTTTGATTTGCATTGCAATTGAGGTTGATAGGGAGTACAGTCTGTTCAGGCAACTTCCATATGTTCTTCGTCCCATAAGGTTATAATAGAGTACAGAAATCCGGAGAATGTAAAGTATCATAACCGTACATAGCCAACACAACAGCTTCTCACACATAACCCGTTATCTCATATCTCTTGTATACACCTAGTCCCCAGGTTACAAGATCCGTTCCTAATGCTGTCTTTAAGTCAAATTTGTAGGTAAGTTGGAACAGGTAGATAAGTTTCTTATTTAGTGTCAGTTAGTTAAATGTTTGTCTTAGCGTATAGTATGTATTTTACCTTTCTGTGCATATAAAGGGAGCCCTGGTGGCACTGTGGTTAAGAGCTATGGCTGCTAACCAAAAGGTCGGCAGTTCAAATCCACCAGCTGCTCCTTGGAAACCCTACGGGGGCAGTTCTACTCTGTCCTTTAGGGTCGCTGTAGGGTTGCTATCCGTTGGAATTGACTCGACCCGGGTTTGGGTCTGGCTGATGCATATAAAGAAGCCGTGGTGGCGCAGTGGTTAAGAGCTACGGATGCTAACAAAAAGGTTGGCAGTTCGAACCCACCAGCCGCTTCTTGGAAGCCCTATGGCACAGTTCTGCTTTGTCCGGTAGGATTGCTATGAGCCAGAATAGACTCAACAGCAATAGTATGCATATAAACACTTAAACATGTCCAAACTACGCAATGTTTTCATGAGCGTCACAAAGTAGTGTGTGTGTTTGTTATTACAAACCATAGTATTTCACTCAGATTTTTAATAGGCTTTATGGCAGTCCGTTCTTAGGTACCAGTTTTCCGTAAGTCAGACGTTTGTAACCTGGGGACTGCCTGTCATATGATGTTCACACAAAGTCCAAATCACTTAACGCCCTATTTCACAGAACATATTGTGGACATTAAGCGATGCATGACTGTAATTGCTCACGTCTGAATGACCGTGTGGATGACTTTTCTAGTTTGTTCCAGAGCCTATGACATTTCCCACATGTAAATAACATGGCTTATAAATCACTCCCTTGTGAATTCACTTACTGTGCATGTATCTCTTGCACAAGTGATGAGATGATGGTATACTGGTAATGACACAATAATCAAGCTGTAGCTGTAAGGTCATGTGCAGATGGGGGGACACCATCTCCTCTGAAGGAGGTGGTCATTCCAGTTGCCCATCACCCTGGGTACAGGTCAGTCTGATAAAAGGAAAACGGAAGCCTGAAACTCTCCTTAGTCCTCAGTCTCTTAGGTTTGGGTATTCTGGAGTTGAAACTCCCTCTGTCGGGCTGAGGCTGGAATCAGGCTTCAAAAAAGGCAAGGGCCATGTCTATGTGGATTCCATGTATACCTAGCACCAAAGCACAAATCTGGACCCATATTAGGGGCTCAATGAATGTCTATCGAATGAGCGAGGTGCATTGTTTATTTCTATGTGTTCTCTCCTGACTTTCATTAAACTCTTAGTTAAATATTTCAGGTTCTACTCATTCATTCAACAACTATTAACTGAATGCTTACCATGTTCCAGGCACTGTTCTAGGCACTGGGGACATAAGTGAAGAGGTAAAGTCCCCAACCTTTCAGCGAGTAGTTGAACGTTTAACCGTTTCTGCCAGATAGATGGATAGATTCTGTTTAGTGTGGCTGTTACTCTGTCATGTCATGGTCATAATATGGCTGTTCTACCTCCAGTATAGCCTTTCTCACAAAAGAGAAGAAGGGGAGGGACAAAACGCATCCCACCCAGTGATTCTTTTATATCTCATTGGCCAAAATTGTGTCACATGAACAACCCTATCTGTAAGGAAAATTCTACCACTGAGCCACCAATGTCCCCTGCACTGTTACTAGTTACACACACAAAAAACTTCTTTTTCTCCAATCTCTCCTATTTGGAATGGAAATGTCCACCATTGTATTTTGGAAGCAGCTAACCTGTATTCTAGGTATCACAGATTCACAGATGGAAAGCAATTTTGCCCCAGGGTGGTACACATCCAGAGTCTCACCCATACATGTTTTAGATGATTGAAAAGTTGAAATTTTGGACTTAGAGTTGGTACTGGAATGTGTTAAGACTTTTGGGATGATGTGATAAGGTGAAAGTGATTTGTACATGGGAAGGACATGAATTTTGGGGAGAACTGCAGGTTCATATGTTAGTTTTATGTTAACCTTTTTTAGAATGGCCAAGCTGTTTTCCATAGCCCAAGGCTGAGCCCTCTGAGGAGCAATGTCAGAGGCTTCACACTGTGGTGGTGTGGGGAATAGATTTTACTAAAATAATACTGCCAGTCTCTAAACAAACAATAGCAAGCCCAGGAATGAGAGAAGGAGACCAGTACCCAGAGAAGCTATATTATCTAAAATGTCCAATTTCCAACAAAAAGCTATGAGACATGCAAAGAAACAATAAAGTCTAGGTGCAAAAAGTAGGTAACACAGCAGGCCTGGTAGTGCAGTGGTTAAGTGCTCAGCTGCTAACCAAATAGTTGAGGGGTTGAACCCACCAGTGGCTCAATGGGAGAAAGGTGTGGCAGTGTGCTTCTGTAATGATTACAGCCTTGGAAACCCTATGGGGCAGTTCTACCCTGTCCTATAGGTCGCTATGAGTTGGAATCAACTCAACAGCTACGAGTTTGTTTGTTTTTACTCCAGATATGCTGATTTGGTAGACCTGGGAAATTTATCTGTGGGTATAAGCTTGGCCCTTGTAATTCCAGGATTTGGAATCTACTGGTCTAAAATAGTTTTAGAGATTAGTTATAGTGTTTGTATATCTACAATCCATATAGTCAAATTGTGCCATCTGGATTTGAAATGATCAGTAGGAGTGGGAAATAGTCAGGTCCTGTATCTATGTTGCTTGGAAGGAATATGTCATCTCGCTTTTTCACTTCCACAAACCACCCTCTGGAACAAAAGTGGACTTTGGGGAACATGGCTGGCTTTATGCAGCCAACTGAGGTCTGTATAATAGTAGAGATTTGAAACATAGGTGAGGCCAGGTAGAGGAGCTGGTACTCTTAAATGTCTACACAGGTCCTCTAAGGGAATAACACAAGGAAAATTTCTAATGGCTAGAGAGTATTAAGTATTACACGTGTGAAAGTAACAAACTCCATGTTGTGATTGAATCAGAGAAAAGCCAGAATCGTTTCTTCATTCCCAAAACAGTCAGCTGCTTAAAGAAAAGCAGACTGAGCTGTTTTCTTCTCACTCTGAACAAAGAAAGGAAGCAAAAAGAAAAAAAAATCTTTGTAATAACAGATGTTTATTGGCGAAATTATCACTATTTTCTGCAAAGAGTTTTATGACTCCAGTTTTATAACATCAGAGGTGATAAAAGATGATTCAGTTACAAAAAACAATTTGACAATATGAGCATCCCTTTCTATTTATATTGATTAGAAAAACCAAAAGAGGAAATCTGTCACTGGGGATACAGGGCTGAAATTAAATTTAGTTTTAAGAGATTTTTATACAACTGAATTATTTGGCAACTTAAAGTTCTTTTTGGTTTCAGTTTTCTTCTCAGCTCCAAGTTAACTCTTTCAGACCTGACAGTACATATAGTGACCACTTACTTTTTCAGTCTCTGGAGTTTATTGGGAAGCTGCTTTCCCACTGACAGTGCCTGCTACTGCAAGGCAGGTGTCTTTATGACTGTTTAAAACTGAAGAAATGGGTGTGTGCTACAAATCACTGTTTTTACAGGGTATTGTATGAGGTGATGCTGAATCGATGTATTCTTTTAGGTAAAATATGGAGTTTGAAAATTTTTAAGTGGTACACACATGTACCTCTGGACTCCAAGGTAGAATTAGGGGTACACATATGTACTACATACTCTGAGGACAGGATTGTGGGAGGGGGCAAGCAAAAAATCCATACTACCTACCAAAAATTCAGATACACTCAATGATTCAGCATGCTTCCATTAATTAAAACATATGGTATAAACAAAAAATTCAAAGCATAAAATAACTGGGTACTGAAAAGATTAAGACCTAACACAGCATATACTATCTATGCAAAATATCTCTAAGTCCAGGGAGATATTTTCCTCACTATACAGGATTCGAAGTCTTACATATTTCCCTTTAATCAAGGCTATACAAAATGAGATTTCACATTTTCCTCCCAACTAAAAAGAGACCTTTATTTTTATTCCATAGAAAAGCAACTGTACACAAACATCTGTGGCTAAAAATACTGCCTCTTTGTATTCCTCAGGAATGTTCAGGGTACTACAAACTTAAGTGAATGAATGAAAGTGCACAGGAGGCCAGCAGATGACAAAAACATGGGAGGGTAATAGCAGTCTAGTTAGTGATGTGCATTTCAAAAGAGCTGGGTTTTTGATGAATTGAGAAGAAATGGCAGGATAGAAAGCTATGTGGGTTGAGGGAGACAAAACTACCACTTGAAGAAATGCAGAGGCAGCAATGCCCTTAGGGAATAACCAGGCTTCCATTAGAATAAGAAGGTAAAGAAAACACAAAGAGATGGACTCTAAATTCTACAGGGTGGCATGAATGGGCTTGAAAGAAGGTAAGGCATTCCCAAGGCCAACCCTTCAAAGATTAGACTGGACTGTGAGACATAAAATGATACTCGTGAAGAGTGTGCTTCTTAGCTCAAGTAGGTACATGAGACCAAACAGGCAGCTCCTGTCCTGAGGCAAGATGAGAAGGCACAGAGGGTCA